CCCTAAACCCTAAACCGGGTTTGTTCAGAACTCCAGATTTCCGAAAGCTATGGCCCTACGCCCGAAACCATGTCACTGGCACAGAGATCTGGGAGGGCCAAGACTCCAAAAACTAGCACTTGGGGTTTTGGGTTTAGGGTAGTTCTAGAGCTCCTTGTAAGGGAGACTTTGAAGGTTTAGGGTCTAGGGGAGCATGGGGGCAATACACTTTCGTATCCCAAAACACCTACGTGATGAAACCCTGACTAGTTACCCAAAACTCTGCATAGCCGGAAGAAAATACCGCCAAAAACCTCAAAACCTGCCCAATGCTCGCAGTCGAAGCAGTCGTTAGCCCTAGTAAAACCCGAACCCTGTCCAAAGCTCGCCGTCGGCAAACCTAAACCATACACCCTCAACCCCTCAACCCCCAAACCCAAACCATAAACCCGAAATCCCCAATCCCCGACACCGCCAAGCCCGCAACCCCTGAACCCCCCACCCGAAGTCCCTAATCCCAGAAACCCTAATATAGGGGCCTTAATAATTAGACTAGGGTGTTGGGGCTCATTATGCTATAACTATAATAAGGAGCCCCCAAAATAGTATAGGTAATTATTTAGGCCCCTAATGTAGGGGCCTTAATAAATAGAATAGGGAATTGGAGGGCTCCTTCTTATAACTATTGTATAATACACCCCCAAACCCCATTCTAATTACCAAGGCCCCCTAGACCCTCAACCCTTATAGTAGCCCTTATAGAACGCTTTAAAGGAACCCCCAACGAACCCTTAAAGGAACCCTATTCTAATTAATTAGGCCCCTACATTACACCGCCGGCCTGCTCGGCGGTGTAGCGATCCTTTGGGTTCATCTTCAGCAGATGACCTCGGCGGTTCCCATTTTAGGGTTTAGGGCTAGAGGTTTGGGGCTTAGGGTTCTTAGGGCTTAGGGTTTAGGGCTTAGGGTTTGGGGTGTAGGGTTTAGGGCATCGGGTTTAGGGCTTAGGGCTTTGGGTTTGGGGTTTGGCATTTAGGGCTTAGAGTTTAGGGCTTAGGGCTTGGGGCTTTGGGTTTATTGCTTAAGGTTTGGGGCTTAGGGTTCTTAGG